ATTCATTCAAAATCATTAATAAAAAATGAGAAGGTTTATGATTATGATTTAATTAAAAATTTCTTATAATTTGGGTTCAACATGATGATAAAAAAAAGATTTATAAACGTTGAAATTTGAATCTTATTTTTACGAGATATTATTTTTTAAGTATAATTATTTAAATAAATTATAGTTTATGTTTTTGCCTTTTTCATTAAAACTAAAATTATCTCATATACCTTGTTTGGAGACCTATATAATTTTGTTAATAGAAAATTTGATAGTAGTTTATATGATGTAATAGTTTTATATCACTAACATTAAAATTAGAAAAAAGCATTTATTGTCGTCAAAATATCAAAATTACTCAAATTTGATAATTATCAAATATTAAAAAAATTTTAATAAAAAATTATATATAGTGTAATAGTTTAATTCGATTGACATTAATCTTGAAAATTGTAAAACTTTTAATAATATTAAGAGCTTTTTAAATCATTTAATCTTATTAACAATTTAAAAAATTATTAAAAAAAAATCTACTCCTACTCTCAAGAACCTCCAAATATCCTGTCGGGACATTTGCCTGCAAATGGTGAAAGAGATCACGCGTTGCAACCGGCCAACGAGCAAAGTCTTCCACCTTTTTTTTGGTCTTTGGCAACTGTTTTTTGTTTAAGGGTACCATCAACCGCAACAGGCCAACGCTACTTTTTCTTCTCTTTAGATTTTTCGGACTTCGGGATTTCGATTTTCTTTTTTTTTTTATATTGTGTTTTGCCTTCTTCAGCATTCAAAATTTTGATATTTTCACAGCAGTGGCAGATCCGTACATTAAGATGAGTGTTCGTTAAACAGTCTAAAAATTAAAAATTAAAAATTTTTTGAATATCCCTTTCCATCAATAAAATATTTGTTATAAAAATTATTTGAAAATAAAATTTTTTATTTTTGATTGAATAATTATTTAATTACATATTATCAAATTGTGGTGATGATTTAACAAAATCAGTAGATAATGTCTTTTTTTAAGATATAAGAAACTTATCGTTAAAAAAATTGTAATAATATATAAATATATTATTTTAAAATTTATTTATAAATTCATATATATTATAAGCAAACACTTTTAAAACCTTTTGATCTGCCACAGTTTCACAGTAAAAACGGGAACATAATTTATGTTTATACTATTAAATTGTAGAACTTATTTAAATTTAATTCATATTTCACTCCTTGCTGTATTTTGTACTTGTTTTCTTTTATACTGACTTCAATAAATAAATAAATAATATAAAAATAATTGTGACATGCCTCAAATGAGGATAAAAGGTTAGGGGAGATTTTCATAAAGATCTTAAGTTTAAATAGTAATACTCTCTTGTATAAAAAAAAATTATAAAACTAATTAACAATACTGCTTTTTTAGGACGAACCACATATGGGAATTAAAAAGGGTTTTTCTTCCCACCGTTTAAAGAAGTTAGAGAGGAGTTTCTTGGAAATTGCCACATTAATTACAATAATTTGACATTAAAGTCAAGCAAGTAGAAATGGGACAACTTAAGACAAAATGTTGGGCCATGCACTAATAATTAAAAGGAAATTAAAGGATAGATTTGATCAATGGAGTATGATTTAAGAGTAAAGGGAAGTATTGTTTTGGTTTCAATTGCTTCGTTTAAATTCGTTAAGAGAATAGAAAAAAAATTTTTATAATTTCATTAAATCTTTAATATAAATAATCTATTTAAATTAATTCAAAAAAATA